AACATACTTTTGTGCTTCCAGCTTAGAATATACTGGATGCAGCACAAGTATACTTTTAAAAATTAGCTTACCTATGCTTAAACATTACTAGTAAAAGTCAAAATGAGATGTTTAGCATGAATTTTGAAGGCAAATGTTGTATTAAACTTGTGAGTTTACCATTGGAGCCATCGTGCAATGTGTCATCTAAGGTCATCAAATCGCAGTTTACAGCTGATCATGATAGATGGGACCTCAACTTGCTAATCATAATGCAAGGAAATCAATTAATCAATAGAGGACTTTGTCATCATCTTATATATCGGTAAAACTCCAGCTGTTCACATAAAGATAATGATTTCAGCAACAGCTATTTAAGTTATATCATAGGCGTAGAACGCACTCATAATCTTTGATTACTACTAGTACTGTTTTTATTGTACATAGTAGAGTGGCAATCTTCAAAGGGCTGCTACTCTCGGGTGGGCTGTTACTTTTGGAGGGACCATTCCTTTCGGGGTTCAAAAGAAAGGTAAAAATTTGACATTACTTTCGGGGAGCAGTTATTTTCTGGAAACGTTACTTTTGGAATTCTACGGTAACCTAGCTGACATCATCTACCCACACTGCACACTGCTTATAGTTCACATACTTTTCAGTAAATTTTGAGTTGAGAATGTGAACACAAAATTGGTGAGACAATCAAGGGATCACCGATCATAAAATATCAAATTCCTTATTCCCAAAACATGAGCAAATGCTCATCTAATGTCTGAGAGTTGGGCAGTGTTACAACTGACTGATGCATGCCTGCAGATATCTGAAAGTATTCACAACTTGGGCTTAATCTTTATGAATACCAAGACCATTACCAGAAAAAAATTATGACTGAGGTGATGTCCATGAGAAAACCATGAATGAGGCAATGAAGAATTCTCTTCCAAGGTATTTAGGGTGTTTATGATGACTTCGAACAACAAAAACAAAAAACAAACAAACAAAAAAACTGAGGCAAATGCCTCGGCTCGTCTGTTACTAGGGGCCATTCCATTTAATATCCGCATCCCCCCATTGAGGAGCTTTGAATTTTACCCCCTCAGAAAAGTAAACTTTTTACCCCCTAAGAAAGGAAGATCGAAGTGCCGACACACTCCCCCCTTCAGAATTTATCAAGACTATTTGCTGATGACACTTCTTTAACTGCAACTGGTAAAGATTTAGACGTACTTTTACATAGAATAAACTCTGAATTGCCTGCTATTTATGGATGGTTATGCTCAAACAGAGTAACCTTGAATTTAAGTAAGACAAAATACCTGGTTTTTCAACCACGACAAAAAAGAAATTATAATTTACA